TTTTCTTTGTAATTGTTTTGCAGGCCAACAATGCGTCGATTTAATTATCACAGAGCTGGGAGTGTTTGAAGTGGTGAAAGGAGAAGGATTAAAGCTTATCGAGATTGCCGCTAATGTCGATATCAGTGAGATCGTCAGTTCGACAGGTTGTGAATTTAGTGTTGCTGATGAACTTAAGGAAATGGGACAGGTTGAGATCGATGAGTCTTAAAATTGTACTATATTTTACAAATTGTAAAAATGATACTCGACTCGATATTCTAACACCTCTTTGACTACGTGAAAGTAATTTTTAATATCGTTTACAAACTGTACAGGATTTTCAATGTAAAAAATTGCATCTTAAAACTTTACGAGAAATATTGTTGAAGCTATGCAATTTAAAATATGTAATATAAATTGAGAGAGTTGCTAATTACGTTACACAATTATATTTCTGTTGATATTTTCGTTTTTTATGATTGTACTTCATGTAAAATATACTATAATGTTTAAATAATTAGTTAAACGTTATGATCAATATAAAATTATCTATTACGTTATTCTGTTATTGTATACAAAAGTTAAATAATTATTTCCTAAATGTACATATATTTTTTTACGTGTAAATCATGAAGCAATTTATAATGTGTCGCGATTGCGAGCAAAAGGAATCATATATAATTAGCATAATAAATGTGTTATGATTTTGTAATATGTCCTATTAAATAAAAGTTTGTAATATTTTCGATATGTATTCTTGCTTTTCCTGATCGATACTATATATAATCTTATTCCTATATATTATTTACAATTTTATATACATTGAATATTAAATCACAAATGCAACATTCGAGTTCAGCGCTACATCCGAGTATTTGAATGCAACATAATATTGACGATCACTATCAATAGAATCCATTATTCTCTGAATTTAGCCTTCACTCTGGCGGGCAGCGGCAACAGATACAGAACGCTGTTCAATATGATAAGACCGATGGCGAACGCCAGGGAGATGAGCAGATTCAAGTCCACGTTCAATACCTCGGAGATGTTCTCACCCTCCTTGGTGAAGCGTTCTATCAGATAAGTCTTGCCGTCGGGATATCTGCAGAGCTCGGCCATGCCCGGGCAGGTAAAGCTCTCGTTGTACGGCAGATTCGACAAGATGGGCGTGTCGATGACCAGCTGATTCAGCGCCAAAGAGGAATATCTAATTGGCAACGCGGTTGACACCATCACTAGCCAGTAGGGCAGGTTCTTCAGGCTGCGAATAGCGCCGGATGCGATCACCAGGGACAGCAGGGTCATATATAACACCGTGATGGCACCGGTTAAAGGTCGTCCGACTACCATCAGCACTGCCACCGTCACTTGCTCAGCCGCCACGTAACTGGACCATAGAATGCCGGAAGCGTACGCCCAAGAAGTGAGGTCCAGCTCCAGAATCGGAACCAAAATTCCGATTGTTATCAGGGTCGATATGAAGCTCAGCGGCAGACTCAGCAGGGTGTACGCGGTCAGAAACATCGCGCCGCCGTAGAGACCCTCTCGCTTTTCTTGATAGTATCTCGTGCGAAAACCTGGAACTACATATCAAACATTTTAAAAGTCACGTAGATTGAAAAAAATTGTTTTAATATATTTTGATCGCAAATAAAGATTTTATGTTTGAACATCTGAATACTTTATTGAAAAATTAGATATATGTACATAAACTACAACATTTTACTTACAAAACGCGTTTTTTTTTGCTATGATTTTTTGCTCCGAGTTTTTACGCGATTGCAACTTTTTCTAATGCATTTTGTTACTTACATAAAACTGATGTCGTGGCTATTCCAGCTACGTAAAACAACGTCAAGACGTTGAAGATTAAACCACCGGTTTGTAAGAAGATCCTTGACTGTACGGGACTTGAGTGCGAGTACAGTATGCTCATTAGAGCGACTAAGAATGGCAGTAACAGCAGGCGAGCGGCGAAATGTCCTAGGCCGGTCTTATTCAAAGAGAACGTAGCTGCCATACTTCGCCTAAATATCAAAATATGATTGTGAATAATCAGTCTGCAAGATCTTCCAGAACTGTCGATTTTGATTTCGTCGACAGATTCTAAGCTCGAACATATCTTTTTTACAATTTTATTTCAAAATTCTTTCAAAATAATATTAAATATTTTAAAAAATATACATATATTCCAAGAAAAAATATACTTTAGATTCATAAAAAACTAGCTATACTTTATCTAACATGCTGTCAAAATTAACATTTTATTTATTTAATTGGTGCGAAATTGTGTTGTGCAATTGTCAGAATTTACAGAAAACTCACAAATACAGTGCCAGAAGAGTCGAGAAACATCCGGGCTTAATTCCACGACCTAAACCCTTATGCATAATGCCGAGAGCACTATCTTTCATACTTTGCGGCATTTGGGGTGCCTCTTTCATGTAGAGTACGCCGTCCACCTTGAACTTCTCAACTAAAACCGAGATCTGCTGATTGGACTCCAGAAAGCGATCTCTGGACCGGCGGTCGACGGTCGACAGGCAAACTGAAAAAGCGATTATTCTAATCAAATAATAATTAATTCACGAATCTTTTTTGCAAGATTATATTTGTCGTAAATAAACAGGTGAAAGATAATTTTAAACATTCAAATCTACGGATCTGCTTCGAAAATGACAAAAACGCAACATTTCTTAACTATTAAATTTTATTTTTAAGCGTTCATCGTTCTGCGAGTACAAAACTTACGGTAATACATCAAGGGATTCTCCAGTTCCGGACACGGGAAGCCGATGTAAGTAAAGTAATCCAACATGCTTCTGGTGGGTCCCGAGTAAACTACCGCGCCCAAGCACAGCAACGTCACGCGACTGACGAAGGGGAGCACGTCGGATCTGGGTGTTTCCATGGTGAGGACGACGATGGAGCCGCGTCGGGTGGCGTAGGACCACAGCATCGAGACGATGAGGTACGTGTTAAGCGGATCGGTGTCCCAGGTCGGCTCGTCCAACAGCAGCAGGGTCGGATCCTTCGCCAGTTGCACGCCCAGCATCAGCCGCCGATACTCCGGCCGGGTGAGATCGTTCACCGACCTGTTGGCGACCTGCGAGAGCGCCAGGTCGGCGAGGGTCTGCCGCACTCGGACCTCGCGGTTGCTCAAATTGGCGAGCCACGTGGCGTACGTCAGAGTCTGGCGCACCGTCAAGCTCGGCAACAGATGACATCTGTGAGCTACGTAGCCACCGTGACGGCGGAACAGTTCCGGTGTTAACAAATTGCCATTCAGAGTTATCCTCCCCCTCGTCTCGCCGTCTGCTCTTCCGGCTGAAAGAAAGCAAGTTTAGAGATCATTTCAGTCAAAACAGCTCGATAGTATATATATATATATATATATATATATATATATATATATCTTGTTTCTTCTACATTTTTATGTTTAACTTAAGATTTTTTATTATATTTTATGCAAACCATTTTTAATTATTATATCATATCACGCAAAAATGTGCTAAACATCATAAAAAGAACTTTCGAACTTTTTTTTGTTAAACGCTACAAGCAGATAATTATTGTTATTAAGCAAAGGCTGATTCCGAAAGAAAGATTATTGAAATTACTCACCGATAACATCGAGGAGCGCTCGCTTACCGGAACCTTTCGATCCTAGAATAGCTAACACTTCTCCGCCGTGTACACGGGCTGATACATCTCTGAGCACTGCGGTGGGCTCGGATTTGTTAAGACAGCTACCTTCGATCACGACGTTGGTGGAATGGAACACGTTCGATATGTCCAGAATGCAATCGGACGGAATCATCTTAAACATTGTATTGTGAGATCTGTGAAAATAAAGTTTTGGAAATTAATTCGTAGAATATTTCATTACAAAGAGAACAACAATGGTCACACGCATTCCGCGATAAAAATTAAAGGATCTTTGTTTAAAAATACAACAATGCTAAAATTACGCATGTACGATTTTAAAGTGGCCCCTTTAAGGAAGCTAAACTGACGTCTTTGTAATTTTTTTCATACTTTGTGTATTCCGTTTCTACAATTACGTTCATCTGCGGGAATCGTAAAATAAAAATTATAAAGTTTTCTTTATTCTTTAATTTCACAGATTAATTTTAGTGTGTTGCGCTTAAAAACTTCAACATGTAAGAAATAATAAATCGACACTATAAAATTAATATTATTTCTAAGCGAATACACACCTTACAGAATATTAATAACAATATTCATTTGAAATAATATGTAAAGTACATCAAGATGCAGAACTGTCACTGGATTCAGCCATGCGATGCGCATTTGATCCAAATTTCGAAGCCACTGGATATCGAGGCGCGTATATATACGTTAAGAAAAAAAAACAACGTGCTCGTTGACCTTCTGCGAAGATGTTCTCCAAAATGGTAGTCTCGGCTTCGGTAATGCACCAACGTGAGAGCGTAACCACGCGAGCACCACCACGATGCGAATTGCAACGCGTACTGACCGCGCACGGACGCCGCGAGCGTAAAAGTGACTCGCTTGAGCGAGGCTGGGGACGCGAGAAATGCAGGTAACGATACCTGGCTGGCTGGGAGTTGGCTCTCCTCGAGGTGAATGTCTTCTCCGACGCGGACTCTCAAAGATAGGAGGAGGGGACCGACCCCGCGTGACAGCATCGGCGTAACCAGCCTGGGAGCGTAAAACCGTGCGAGCGCACTTTGCGATCACGAGTAAAAAAAAAAAATATTATCGGCCTCGCCTGAGATTTGAAAAATATTATAAAAATATGTTGCATCGCGACATATCTCATGGTTTGTTTGATACGGCATATTACAGATTGTAATTTTTCAATAAGTATGTTATATGCAAATTACAAGATATTGTCAAAATGCGATTCAAAGGTATGCGCATAAAAATTTGATTCATACAAGACACAAGATACTTTGTATTTTATATGTTTATCTCAAATTATACAAAATTGAAATATTGCCCATTACTTTGTCTTATAACTGTCTAATGACAATAAAAAAAGTTAGAATCATAATTATACCGTTACTTCAAGAAGCATGTCGATTTAAATCTTCGAATATTCGATAAAGGAGACACGGAGAATTTTCGATAAAGTCGATAAAGTCTTCGTCAATGAAATCAATACAAAAAACAAAGACGTTAGAGTAATTTATTTTACATTATTTTAATTTTGCTTCATTCCGCTTTATTCTATTTTTTTCCTTAAAAAAGCCCCAAGTCTTTTTGAAATCGCCAATATAATGCAACTATATTTGTTACCCGAAAAATAAAGCGAAACGTATGAAAATAGTTAAGAATAAAAGACGAAAGTGCAGGAAAGTGTAGAGAATATAAGCAATCTCGCAAGCGATGAAGTCCAGCGTGCTTACGCCATTGCTAACTTGACGGGCCCAACAGTGGGGTACGGCATGGAAGAACTCGGAGGGGGTAACTCATGGGGGCCCTCGTCAGCGGCGGCGGCCAGCGATCGGACAGGACTCTGGCGAGTCGCGCGATACCTGGCGCTTCGCGAAGGAAGACCTCGCGGTTAGGAATTGCGTGTTGAGAAAAGATTTCCCGGGTAGCGATCGACGACGCCGGCGTGGTGACCGACGTGTCGCTTAAGAGAGATTGTGAGAAGACGGCTTTCGTGTCGGGAAGTGTATTTCTTTTCCTTCTCCTTTTTCTTCTGCGAAAAGTGCACATCGGCTAGGGATTGACGGAGAAGGACGACGACCGGAATGGAGAGGAGGCAGCAGCGTCGTCGTCGTGACTCGACCAGCTTCCAAGGTTGAAGGCCCAGCACGAATACACAGCCGGTGAGTCATTGTCACGAAGATCAACAGCAGTTCCTTCTCTCTTTTTCTCTCTCTCTCTCTCTCTCTCTCTCTCTCTCTCTCTCTCTTTTCTGCGTCTTCGCGACGAGCGGCGCACCGGGTGTTTTGTAATTTTTTTAAATATTCATAAAACGTTTATCTTGAAATAAAAATTAATTTGATTTGCTTTTCCTACTTGTACTAATAATTAAATGTAGGAGTTGAAACCGCTCTTTTTGGAGTTTGACTCGCTTTATGCTACGACGAAAGTATTAGAGATTGAAATTTGTATTGTTTATTTGAATATCTTTTTATGTGTTTAAGTTCATAATTGCATGAGATATTTTATTATCTTTGCGTGATGTATTTTTTGTAGTGTAATCTTAAAAAAAAAAACTTCTCCGGCATTTCCTGCTCGGACATTCGTGTGTTTCTACAATTAATTCTTGTACGCATAACATACGTAACAATCTTAAATTAGGATTTAATTATGACTGATGTATATGTAAATTTTACGAGTACATATTTCGTATGAATGAATCGCGTGTTTACGTTCGCATACTTTTTTGATGTAGTAGTATAATTAAGACTTCTTTTTTTGATTGTTATAAGATAACCGTAAGTTGAAATAATGGGTAATATTTCAGTCTCGGTAATTCATATAACTGTTAAATACATAATATTATTTCATTTTCTGATTTAACATTTCATTACCTGTAATGTAATTTTTTGTCTCGTAATTTAAAATTTAAATCAAAATTTGATAATTATTACTACTAATTTTGGAGTACATCATGTTTTAAATCACGCTAATTTTGGAAATAATTATTCAGTCAAAATAATATCTATATTAAAAAATAGTATCTTATTAATATAAAATACTTCTATTATTTTCTCATTACGATTTTTATTATTAAAAACAATTTTGAGCAAGAACAGTGAGTCAAATGTTTGTCCAAGTTGTTTATTAATTTCATTAATTTTATAAGAAAATTTATATCAGAGTTGTCAGCATCAGAATAAGAAAAATGTAAATTGATGCTAAAAATATATTAATTTTTTTCTCAAAATTGGAAGGAAAATTCACAATGAGAATTAAAATTTGTGACGCTTTAAAAAGAAATGTTGAAGACGGAAGAATTGTTGGCATGTGATGAGAGCTTTAGACGCATTTCTAATTATAGTGTGCAGTTCCGATTACGTAATATATGAAAAATGTCGCAGCGATTTTTCAAAATGAGAAGCAATCTATAATTCATTGGAATCCGTGAAGCGAATCGGCTGCCTTCGAAAAAGAAATAACGGCGCTGTTAATCACCTGTTGCTTTCACCGTGCTGGCGGATCTTTCTCGTTATGCAGAATCAGGTTCTCTGTCGTTGAACCGTGAATTAAAAGCTCGCATACCACGCGTTAAACCGTTCCATGCGTATTTTTTTCTCGTGGAAGGAGAATACACGACCCACTGACAAACGGTCCTCAAAAATACGACGGCGTAAGACACTTGTGCGCGTATGTTTTTAAATTTCTCTCTCACTTAAACATTCCACAAAGTTACTTAATTTAATTTAATTTACTGATGAAAAATTAAAAGGAAATATATAAGTTTAAAAAATAAATTTTATTTTTTATTATTTAATTATTATTAAAAAAATTACAAATTTCTATTACTAATAAAATTATCTACGAATAATATTTTTCTCGACACTTTAACTTTAAATAAATAATTTTTATTATGGAATAAACTATTTGAATGCAAAGCGACACGGCTCATTGTGTTACGTTTCACCACATTTTAAACTATAGTAGCATAATGTTTTATTACGTGCATGAAGTCATTACTTCTATTCACGTTACATGCGAACATAATGTTTTACTTCCCTGAGTGGGCGGATTATTAGTCTATTAGTTCATGAACGCTGAAAGCGATACTGATTTATGTTAAGTAACGGAGATATTATACATTGTTCAAGAACTCTCTCTCTTTCGGATTTCTCGAAAAAAAAGTAATAATAATAGGATTTGTTCTAGTAATAATAAGGATAATTTTACTCGAGAATTAGCCTCTATTTGGGCAAGAGAAATAAATTGGCCGGAACCACCGGATATCCTTTTTGCCTAGATTTCAGAGTAAAGCTAAAATTTCAATCTTTCCGTAGCAAAAACTTCGTGGAATGTTATCGCTCTCCTTTCAAGTTTCCAACCTTTGAATTGATTACCTCAGTAATTAAGTATTGCATTAGATTTCCGGTAAGCTAAGCCATATAATTCTTTCAAACCAGGACTTCGATGTCTATTTATGCCCTTCTCTATATATCTCTGCTCGTGTTTCTCAAGCTCGCATTTCCTTTCATAAATAAAAAGCAAAAGCGTTCGCTCCGACCCGTTACTTCCTTCGTCGCATTCCATGCAGTTTCCACGTTAGCGAAGCCCTACGGCGGTAATCGCAAAGCGTAAAGGTGAGGGTTCAATTCTCACTTCGTCAATCCCTTCACTTCGATCGGACACGGCGGATACGTCGAATGCATAATCGTAGTTGCCGTAATTTCGTTACGTGCGCGACGACAGGCGTCTCCGCGAAATCGCTGAAGTCACGCCGGGAGACTTTAACGAGCGCATAGGAGTGCACTTCGGCACTTCCTCGCGCGATGCTTCGAGTGATTTGCAATTTCAATTAGATTCTCCTCCCTTTGCGTCCTCCTCCCCCGTCCACCTTCGCGAGGGAGACGCGGAGGGGGACGGCGACTGCCTCGGCGGAATATTGAAAAACCTAACTGCACTGACCTCACTTATATCCCGCATTCCCCGATGAAATTTTACGATGCGATAGTGCTCATCATCGCGTATAACGAAGCAGTAAAAGTATTATTATTGATGTTTGACTGCTGCGTAATTTCGTTACAACTCACAATGTGAGTGCTATAATAATATAATTAATGGAGCATTAATAAAAATATTTTATGTATCATAGTTATTTAATTACGATAATGCTGGTGCGACGCATTTATTATGTCATTAATGAGTAATTATATACAATTGAATTAATGTTAAGAGGAAATTAGAAGTGGCAAGCACGGAACTGCTCTCTTTTTCCGACACCTAAATCGCGGAATTAACGGCGTTTAATTAATCAACGTAATTAGCTAAAAGCGCACACTTCGTTTGAGATACCTCCGTACGCTATGTGGGTCGCGGGACGATTTTCGGTAGACTTTCCACCGCGATTTCCAACCGCGTTGCGTGTGCGGGTAATTATGGCTGTAACACTGTACGATCCAGGCCATGGTGTACTTTATTTAGGTATACGCGTGCACGGTTGACTGGTGTACACATGTAGGTATAGAAATCAGTGCGTGGGATAGTCTCACAGTAGAGATTCTAGAGATCATGAAATCGAGATATTGTTTCCGTTCGCTGATGAGAGACTTCTAAATAAACGGAGATCTTTCGCAATTATAGTTTATAATTTTCGCTTAAGTTAAATATCGTGAAACGCAAACCGCAGATATAATGGGCGCGAGAAAACGAGAATTGATCCAATTAAGCGAACTAGAAAGATCAAAGCTGAAAGCTTCATCTTGTTCAAACAAATTATCGTGTTTTTCATGCCGCGGTGCATTTCGAATAAATATTTGCACTTTCGAAAAATGCGGAGAGTAAAGTTTAGAAAAACGTTTGTTGTTTTGAAATAAGCCTCGATCGCTTGTTCGCTTCGTCGGCAAGTGCTCTCGTTTTCAACCACTTGCCGACTTCCGATTTGCGATGCGAATTTGCGAATCGTCGTAACACAGCGATCGTGCGATTCCGGTGATTTTTCCAGGCATCACGCACGGGATAGACATATACGGCGGGATATTAGACATCACTTTCCGCCCGCTTTCGACATGCTCAGCTGCGCGCAATCGGCGCATGCAGTTGGGCCCGTTTTTCCGAGCGTATCATCGCCGGCCTTTACGAATATCGCCGCGGCTATCCGCACTTTCCTTCTCGCGCATATATGCAGCGTGGAGCGGCGATTCAGTTGCACGCACGTGCAAAAGCCCGGCAAAAAGCGACGGCGGCGACGGACGCGAGCGGCGTTTAATGGTGAATACATACCGCGAAATCGCACGGTCGTCGCTCGATACAACTGTTGCAGAAACGGGATATGCAAATGAACAGTTAACCGGGCCCGGCGAGAGGCGGTTATCGGCCGCCGCAAAAATCACCGTGTTACGCAAATTGAAAAGGACGTAGGTACGTCGCGATACAGTTTTACCGGTTACCGCGCCGAAGTAACTGTAGGCGCGATTATCTAAATATCGTATCGCGTTCGAGATGCGATGTGACAACTCGAGAAAAACTGGTCTGCACATTCGCGAGCCTGCGTGTCCGGAAAAAAAAAACATTGCGGCACGTGTATTAAACGTACATAAGAACATCAAAAGCTTTCATTTTTTTAGCTTTAATTATCTTAGAATATTCTAGAATTCACGCTTCTAAGTTCAAACAGAAATGACAGTCGAGAGAAAATGTTAAGAATTATTTTTCCACCATGATTTTTCTCGCAAAAGCTCTAAATTTTCCGAAGAACAAGCTTTCCTAAGTTAAGTGTCAATGTAATAAAGTTAAATGTGCGCACATCGTACGCTTCTTGGAAGCAACGTGAAACGCGAGATGAATTATGGAATATATCTCTTACCATCTCATTTTCCGAGACATCCTTTATGAAAGGTGTTAACCAAGTCCACAATGTCTCCCATTCGCAACCGCGTGGGTTAATCATTCCACGCACGATCGTGAGACCAAGGCACGGAATTACTTAGATGTGCAGCGAGAACCGCGTCCATTGTCATTGCAGGCGATGGCGCGACGTGACGGTGATTACAAACCCTCGGGTCTTTTCTCCTTTCGCATGCGGGTAGGATAAGTGGAGTTGCGCTCACGTACGGATGACCTATCGGTCGCTTATGACACGGAGACCCAGGCGAATCTAAACCCGCGACCTCGACTGACCCGTGCCACATCCAGAAATCCTCTTCCGCGGACTCTGACTCAAAGAGACGCACAGGTTCTTATTGAATTCTTCTTAGTTTCTTTTTTTTTATATCTGTAAGTCAGACATGCGTTTTATTATGTATCACGTTTTTGCTGTGTAAAAAAATTTATAACCAAGATGATTACTTCGTGTAAAATTCCAGCAAAAATGATTCCTTTATTCAGATATTTGCTTATATTTCATCAGACTTTGATTGATCATAATTTCTACTATTCGAGTTTTATCATTTTAAGTTACTTAATACTCTGACGGTAGGCTTCGGCGAATCTTCGAAATAATCAGCTATGCGATTAAGGTTGAGCTTCTGCTGTATAATGTGGACCGTTAATGCGCCGTTACTTCTTTTCAGCTAAAAGTGTTCAGCTGTTTGCGTGCGCTTGTAGAAGTTTCATAGCGATGATCCATTGATCGATGACTTCACCGATGAGCCCGCGTTACATCGCGATCCTATGAGACAATGGCATTGCAGAAGATATCTATTTTTACATATGCGTGTTCAAGTTAACGCACATATCATCGCGTGATATAACATACTAATTGTAATATTGCTAAGGAAAATTCTGCAACAGTCAGCAACTTTAAATTTGCTTAAGTCGAGTTTAGAACCTGCTTTAGAATCTACAACTCACGATCAAATTCGAAATAGACATCCGCTTATAATATTACGTAATAAAAAACATTTGAAAGATCAAAAAGACTCGCACGAAATATCTACATATACTGTTATATGTCTTGTACACGTTTGTATATTAATTTTCTCAATTTTCTGTATTAAGCACAATTATAAACAGAATTCTATTTTGTTCTTTACGATCGAAATTGAAGTGGCAAATATTAATCGTATTTCCGATATAATAATTCACTTCCGCTTTTACGAAAAGAGACTGCCACATATGAAAAAATGTCTTAATCTGCAGTTTCGTATGACTGGTGCACGATTTCCATCTTGTTGATTCTCACGAGCGAGCATAGCGTGAACATTCTTGTACTTGAGCCAGCTCAGTTTCATACAAGGGACTCGCTGATGAGTCACTTCTAACGGGAAATTCCTGGACGGGGGAAAAAAATGTCATTCCGTCAGCATCTGTTCGCTAGAAATGTACCGCACGTATCATCCAGAATGTTGCGGCGAACTGTTCGCGTTAAAGCAGATTATGTAATTCTGCGCATTCCATTTCGACATGTAAATGTAACATATGGTTGACTGGCGATATTAAGCCGTCACAATAAGTATGGCACACAAAGAAGTAGAATTGTACAAATGATTTATGTAATATACTTGATCGGCAATAGATGTTAAGCGTTTCCATCGTAAAAGATTGCATAAAATCTGTTTTCAAGACGGAGTCTTGCAAATTTGAATTTCATTCTTCAAATTTCTAAACACACAAGAAATTTGCAATAACTAATTTTAACAGAAAATGCGATTCTATCGTACAAAAGTATTTCTGACAGTGAACCGTCATAAAGTCCAATAAACACTTGATTCGCTGGACACCCGATACGTTTTCGTGCTCGCGTGGAACTCGGAAACATGAACGCATACCACGAACTTGACACGTGAAGACGAATTAAAAGCTGTTGTTGCATCGCGCAGCGATGAAGCAGATGGTTTATGCGCTTCTTGTCGCGCTTCGCAAGTAGCTTCGAAATAATCGACTTGGGATATCGCTCGATTTGCATCACGGTCGAGAAATAAATGTGCGAGATTTCCACTGGCAGATAGGGCGAGGCGCCTTTAATTAATTTCGTTTTTCGATATATGCCCCCTGATAATCTGATACATATAAGCAGTCGAGTGAAGTATATAAAATATCTTCGAGCACACGTTCGCTTTGAAATTTATGAAGGCGATACGCAGAATCCAATCCGACTGGCTCGAGTATGATGGAATTCGTTAATTAGTTTCTGAAATTAACAACGTCGACTTTTATTTTAATTGGAATTGTTTTCTTATATAGTGTACGCGTCATTTCTATTTAAACTTCTGAATTCATTAGCAGAACAATTTCTTCAAATTTTCTTTTCTCGTTGATTAAACGATTGAAGTTGTTAATCATTTTATCATAAACGTTTATATTCGCGCCTCTTTTTAATAGCAACGGTATGCGAATAGTGTCACTATTCTGTTACTCGGTACGGAACGGATTTCGCACAAAGTGTCGAAGTTACAACGTGTTCGCGAAAAGCCATTAAAAGCCACCGTGTGGCAATGGCAATGAAACAGGTGCTACGTGCGCGTTTTTAGATTGCGAGCACCACCGTTAAATGAGATGGATGCTGTTCGCTTCCTTCGAGACAGGCATTACACGTGTCCCCGCACGCAAACGTGATATTTATCCATATGTGAGAGCGCCTTCGTGGCGCTGCAGCTCCGGCGCGAGCGTGTCTAATAACAGTGATGAGTTTCAGATAGCTATTTATCAGAACATGACTATATCGACGCACTGCAACGCGGTAACCGAGAACTGTGCTTGGATAAGATTATAGTGAATAAACAAAAAAATGTATTAGAGATAAGTTCCGTGAAATAATGAAGTAGAAAATAAAGTAAGAATACACAATCAAATAACATCTTGCACAAAGTCGAAAGTTATAACGCGATCAGAGAAAATAGGAATTTGTTTGTAATTTTATGTAATAGTAAACAATATACACAAATCATATTGATACAGATTTTGTACATGTATATATGCACGGAATCAATAATATTTTAATACATAAAGTTGCATAAAATTTTGACAATTAGAGATGGACACATCTAAGTATTGAAATTGTCAAAACTTGATTCGATTTTACTTGTTAAAAATATCATTGATTCTCGATGTGTGCATTGATTCTTCATATGATTTATGCATTACACGACACGACACATAAAATTATAAATAGAATTTTATCTCGACGTCTGTTACGTATCATAGACCATTTGAAGTGGACTTTGCGCGTTCAGAGATATGACAAATTAAACATGCAAGAGACCTTGGGCAAGAGAAAGTCCATAATATAATAACTATCGTCTAGCGAGCTATCGTTCGCCTACGCACGAGATTACGCAAGAAAACGAATGATTATTACGAGTTTTATAGCTCGTGAGAGTAACGAATTCAGAATACCGGTTGAAGAAAAGGGATATGAAAATCAGAATTCATCGGTTTCTTGATTATGTAGAGTTTGCTCTGCTACCGACATTTCGCCGAGCTGTTTCTCATAATTGCGTCATTAAACGTACTGTTATACGCGATATTACCATGTTAATTTCCGGCATACACGTCAATTACTGTATCTATTTGTACCGTGGTTTTTGTCACGACAGACCAATCGGCTTACTGCGTGAAGCTCAAATGAATGTTCGTGCATACAAAGTGCTTTTTAAGCCTTCCGTGACTAAAGTGCATATTTTTTGCACATGGATTGTACTTTGGAAATAGGATATATATTAAACGAGTATTTTTACCGTCTCTTTTTTAATCTCTGAGAAGTATCTGAGATATTCTGAAATATGTGAAATATACTAGATTTATTAAACTTTGAATCAGATAAAATTGTAAGTGGAAAACGCTGGTCACGAAAGGGTTAAAGTACATATTTTAATTGCCTGAAAATTAAATCGTTCAATCTGTTAAAATTTAGTTGGAAATATATTTTGGCAACTAAATTATAAGAAGAAATTAAGCAAGAATTATATAAACGTACAAATCGTCGATATGAAAGGCGTGATAATTTCGATATTTATAGATACTTAATGATATACCGGTAGAGATAAGTGTATGCCGGAACTATATGGCGTGCAGCGGTAGAAATGCATTCTCCGCAGTCTGAACGTTCCGTCCTTTATGGACGATCGGGCACGGGTAAGAACAATTTGCTACATCGCGATAAAATTCGACGAGGCCGTCCTCCTTTGTTCGCCAACGGCCGGGAACTCCGCGGCTGATATATATTACCTTCGGTTTTCTATCGGTGGGAAGAGAAGCTGGAAGGTTCAGAGAGGAGCGCGCACATCTTTTGCTGAAAAAGAGTCGTATCTGAATTTTTAAGGGAAGGAATATCGCGCTTTTTTCTCGCGCAAAATTGCTACGCTGCGAAAGAGAAGGAATGACGTTGAAACGTTTCCGAATAATGGATATTATGAAGAGATACATCAGAATAATAAAATTAGAGAGAGATACATACAGAATAATAAAATTTAGTTTTTTTCCAACAGGCGCTGTTATCGTGAAACTTTATCAGAGAATCTTTTTTTTTATTTATTTAATACCGTATTCTGGATCGCAGAAGAATCTCTTTCCCGCTTTTGGATTCTCTCGCCGTTTAAGCGACACAGGCATAAATTTGTCATGAAATCGCGATGACGGATGCGGCCGTACTCGGACACGGTGTATAAACGCTGAGAACCATGCCGCCGGCATTCCGAGGAGCCGCGCGAATAATCGGCGAGCCTTTGAAATTGCTTCAGCACTATGTTCGCGAGTCCAATCGCCGGCTGCGAGCGCGTACTCTCTCGTAGGACTTTCCAGGACGGTACACGCGGCGGGATACACGCGGGAGAAATTCCTTCTCATACACGGGGAGGCTTTAATAACAGCCTCCCAAGTCGCGTTGCGCAATAAATCTGGTCGCGCGCGGATATCCTCGCGGACGCAATGACGATAAATTCATATGGAGCGTCAAATGGTTTTCCACACGAAGAAGCTTTCGCGAGCGCTCTTCGTCTAATTCTCGTCGGGTGATTTAATTTATTTTTTTTAATATATACTGGATAATTTAGGGCACGGTTGTTTCTTGGAAAAATAATATTAGAATTTTTATCTGATTATTTTTTTAGAATAGGAATATTTTTCTGCAGCTAAATTTTCTCTCTCTCTCTGTTTATATCGCAATATTAAAATATTATCAGCTAGTCAATAAAGTTCGTGCAGTTTATGTGAAGCAGCAAAACCGCACAAACTTTGTTAGTTAGCGAATAATATTTTTATGTTATATCATAATATAATATTTTATGTACACTGAAATAATATCAATCCAATTTTTCAAATACACATACTAATATTTTCATCTGAAAATTAAAAAAAAAATGACAAATAAGACACTTAAGTCGGTTCGATGAGAAGAAAAAAGATTTCCTTTCGCTTACTTTCCTTTTCGGCGTTACTAAAGCGCCGTAATTAAAATAAAACGAGACACATTTTACGTTTCTTGGATTAATTCGATGGAATTTAACCGGTCAGCTTTATGATCTCTGCGCAGTCACCGGAAAATATGGGCTCGGAAGCCTGGGAGCTGGAGAGGAGGTACTCGGTGCCGGGAGCTCTGGACACCAGGGGACTGGAGCCGCCGGCCAGCGAGGATCTACACGCATGGTCGATTTACAGGTGAACACTTGTACTTAAAATGGAAGTGTGTAATCCGCGTATCCCGACTCCGCACACCGTGCAATCGAAGCCTCACTGGAGGCGGAACACCAAAGTGAATGTCCAGTAATCTTTTTTGTTAATCGCTATAAAAGGAATCGGTCGAGCGTGTTCATTTATAACGTGCTGTATCTATATACTTCGATTCTTAATCTTCGATTAAGTCTTAAAAATATTGAAAATTAATGTATATTACGCGTTCTTTATACCGATCTTTAATAAACGGGGAGAAATATCTGATGCCTTATTATTTTTGTTTATATTTTTCAATTTTATGAGAAGTATATTTGATCGCTGCGCTTTGGATTTTAATTAAAATATTTCTCCTTTATTTTGAAAATATCGAGGTTCAGAAGGATAGCAATAATTCCTTAATAAACGTGCAAAATGTAGCATTTCCGCGATCTGACAGGCAAAATCTGAACTCCGACTTTACGGACTCTGCACTCGGCTCCGCCGAGAAATCGCCGCTGCCCTACGGAAACTTCCAGCTCCGCGACTCCACGGTGCAGAGCATATTGCGGCATCCGCGATACGGGCCCAAAAGCCCGCTCGCCAACAACTCCTACACGTATTTGAAGTTTGGTCTACCGCGCGTTCTGCCACCCAGCTCGCGGAATCGCGACGGTTCCAGCGGCTACGACTCCAGCGAGGAAGGACGACGCGTGTCGCACGCAGGTAAGTTCTTCGCAAGCATTGATTTAACGTTACTTACGTACGATTACCTGATAATGATAGCATGGAAATGATGATGGATGGCGTGGATCTGCTCTTGTATTACTTGTAAATTTCCGCTTCAAATACAGTTGCTCCGGTGCATACGACTTCGATTATGCGTTCAGCCAGGAGCGATCCGGACTTCAGGCATGTTCATGCTGTCCCGAGAGAGCACGTGCACTCTCAATTGACCATCGCGAGAGACCATCCGAGACTGCGGAGTGCCAGCGAGGCCAATCTTCTGCAGAGCGCAATCAGGACAAATCGACGACACAGTATCGCACCGATCGATCCTGGATACATAGCACATGGTGGGTAAATTTTGGTTATATTTTTAGATATTCTTAATATTTATTAATGATAATATTTAGCTCTCATACTTGATGCAAAATATTTAAGCACTTTGAATCCGTATATGTGACAGAAAAATATCTTAATTAAAATGTATCATTTAATTAATTGAAAACATTGTATAAGAAAGTATATTATTAATAATTGAAACTATTCTTTTGTTACAAATTTGAGATTGATATTTCGACGAAGATTTTATGAAAGCTCATCGTTTGTTGAACTATTTAATTTTTTTAATAAAAATAAAAATAACTTTTTGATATCTCTTTTCGAATTTTTGGATTTTTGAATGAAAGAACATTCGGTAGATCGAAGATTACCGAAGAGATATCGCATAAAATGTATAATTATTTCACAGGGCACGGTATGATGGGACCGGAAGGTTTCGCGCTGCCGCTAAGACCCGTGCCATGCCTGCAGCACCCTCACTTGCAGCTGCGAGGAGTAGAGGCTTCAGGCTCGGACGGATTGCCGCTTCTTCGCGGCATCACCCTCGAGGCCGGCGCCGCCGAGGTGCTCGCCGTTATGTCGACTACCGAGAGGGAAGGCACGCAGATCGTCGAGACCATTGCGGGCAGAAGGCGTATAAAGAGAGGCGATATTCTGCTCAATGGAAGATCCGTATCGGCGCGTACTCTGAGGTACTTTCTAATGTTCTTCCTGCACGTGCGCTTTTTTGTAGCAAGGCAACGAAGTACTATAGGCGCGTTGCATAATTACGAAGCGCAATACACCGACATTTATTAGAATGGTGTGTAATAAAAGTGAAATTGAGATAAGGAGAATCTTTCGTATTATTATTTTTTTTTTGTACGCTTCGCAGTTGTGCAGTGAAACAGACTTATTTTTAATATTCGAAATACTAAAATAAATGGTTCAAATATCAGAAAATAGAATGAAAAATCGTTGAATTATTTGCGAAGTATTGCGAATCGTTCAGATATTGCGAAGAAGTTATCGTTGAAAATTAAGCGTGAAGCAACAATGGCGATAATTAAAGTGACGATTGAAGCGGTAATTGAATAATGAGTTACCGCTTGGTATTCAACTTATTATTCAAACTACATGAAAATGTGCATGCTAATACACCCGCTAGTTACAGCCCGCTAGTTACAGCTTGCTAGTTATAACCTGTTTCGCTTATGACGGTTACCGTTAGCCGCGGTTAACTAAACCCTCTCTGTCTGGATCATAGCCAGTTCTATGATTCAGAAAGAAACGAACAATCCAGTCAATCAAATTGCATAGCTAACTTACATTAATAAAGCCGGCAATTTATTTTTCAATTATGTTTATTTTTGGAAACCAAGAATTAACGAAAGCATTTCTGTATCTTATTTAAAAAGTTTCAATTAAATTTGAAAATTTTATTTTAAAATTTAACAAAAGTTTTGTTAAAAATTTAGTGACAATTTTGTTGTTAGAGATAATAAAATCTGCAGAGCAAATAAAACGCTTTATAAAGTGACGTTCGAAAAGCTTTTAATTAATCTCGTGATCACAGATCACGCGTCGCTTACCTGCCAACGGAGAGTGGCCTGAGTCCCGGGCTTACGGCTCAGCAGACTCTCAGTTTCTACATGCTGCTGAGAGGCGGCAATAATACCACCACGCTCGAGGCCGAGGCAATCCTGCACGAGCTCGGTCTGGAGGCGACCAAGCACTGTCTGGTGAACACCCTGACGACGTCCGAGGCCCGACGATTGGCGCTCGCCTGTCGATTGCTTCAGGACTCGCATATTCTCGCCTTGGACAGACCCACGCACGGTCTGGACATCTTCGACGCCTTCTTCTTGATCGAGTATCTGAGGCAGTGGGCCAGTCGCGGCCAGCGACTCGTCGTCTTGACCCTGCACCCGCCCACTTATGAGATCCTGACGATGGTGTCGAGGGTCGCGCTCACCTCCGGCGGCCGGATCATGTACTCCGGGCCGAGGAGGGACATGCTGCCATATTTCGCGCTCGCCGAGTTCCCCTGCCCACCGTTTAAGAATCCATCCGATTATTATCGTACGTAGCGGGGAGAAGAATCTGAAATTAAATTTTGCAAATTGAACGACAAATATTATTGACAAACTATCAATGAATTATTTGGAGCAGAAGTTATAGAAATTTGTAGTGTCATTTACAAAGAATATTATAAAAATCGTAAATTCAAAGCCATTGAATTTCTGAATTCCAATTTACGGAAACAAGCGAAAAATATAATATTCTATATATCTAAAATTTTAATAAAAATGAGATTCTCTTGCAGAATAATAACGAACGATACGAAAATTATAGAAACGATATTTTGTTTGCTTTTTTGCAGTCGATTTAGTGACGCTGGATGATTTATCGGCGGAAGCAATGCTGGAATCCTCGCAGAGGATAGATCATTTAGCGGAGCTGGCCAGGACAAGGCTACCTCCGCTCAGCGATCCTGGACCGCCCGGTGCGCTTCCGCCCTCAATGTCCGGTCCCAACATATGCGTGCAGATCTACGCGTTGTTATTGCGAACACTCATTTACAGTCAACCATGGACGTTGACGCGATTGCTACGAAAGATCATTATCTCCGCGTCGCTCAGTATTTTACTCGGTGCAATATTCTGGGATGTTGCCGGCGATTCGAATTTACATCTGCGAGACAGAATAGGCTATCATTACGCCAGTTTGGGCATCTTCTTCTGGTCGCTGAGCCTTTTGGCGATGTGCGATGTCGCTAACAGCAGACCGAACGTCGAGAGGGACATCAGAGACGGATTGTACGGCAGATTTGTCTATATTCTCATAGACGTAAGTATGATTCATCTTTAAATTTTAGTTTTACAAATATATAAAGAAAAAATAAATACGCAAAAATAGAGAAATGAAATATTTAAAATGTTCAGTTTTTTAATGTATTATATATGAAACAAAAAGTTAGTTGACGTATGCAAATCTAATTTAGAAATTTTTAAAAACATTATATATATATAAAAGTTATCAGTTCAAGCAGTGAAGAATACAAATATGCTTCATAGAATTAAACTTAGAATAAAAAACACATAATTGAGGAAGGATAAATAAAATATTTTTTGAAATGTCGCTATTAAGAGATATGCATTTATTATAAAAATTCAAGTAGTAGCTCATTTTTCTAATTATTGTGTCTTATACTAATCTACTTTTAGTAACCCAATAGTTTTTGACCCTTCGAAAAAATATCTCTTAGTGGAGAAATTATTTAATTATACACTACAACTGTAAGCTCATCATCATTAGGAAAGTGTCTCACATATTCTTCGCACAATCTAGATCCCCTTAAATCTTTCTTTAATGCGTGGCAATCTGATGGAGCCAGATCTGGATTGTGTAAAAAATATGATAATGCTTTTCTAATGATGATGAGCTTGCGATGAGTTGCGATATTTAACTAAATCATTTCATAGCCAAGACTTTTTTCCGAACGCTGCCGCTGCGAAAGACAGTAGGATTATGTAGTAAGATAAGCCATTGTTGAAATTTTATGATAAATATATACTTTTCAATGTCTTTGGAATATTTAAAAAAATCTTTCGAATTCGACATTTAAACGGCGATAAAATTTTTAAACTTTCCGGACATTTCTTCACTCCTCTTCGTATTAAAAAGATGACATTTCGTGTTTCAGCTCATCTGCAGCATACCTTCCTGGTGCGTGATCTATCTGATATACCTAGCGCCGGCGTTCGCGATGTCGGGGCTGCACCTCGTGCCGGACGAGAATCTGACGTCACTGTGGAACTACCTCGCCGTCGGTCTGCTGTACCTGATGCTGCAGCACCTCATCTGCACGTTCTTCGCGCACATATGCAAATGGGTATACCTGGCGGCGCTGCTCGCCGGCGTGGTGGTGGGCGAGATGACCTTGGCCGGCGGGGCCACCCTGCATCTGAACAATCTGCCGGCATGGTATCAGCAGATCAGCCCGATGCAGTGGTCATTGTCGCTGCTGCTGCCGCGCCTTCACAGGACTGAGAGCATGGGCAAACTGACGAATTGCAAGCCCAAGCAGATTCAACGGCAGGACATCATTATCCAGGCGGCGTGCGAGCCGCCGGACGGTGCGTTAGCTCTTCACGAAATCGCTCTCGACAAATTAAACGTGAGGGGAGAATTGTGGCTGGGTGTCGGCGTGGGTGTCGCGGCCGCTCTGATCGTCCTGAGTTTCCTATGCGTGAAGTACGCCACTCCGAAGAGGCCCAGAAGCGCTCCGAACAAACCTTGATATTTTATACGTTGGAAAATCGTCGTGACAAAGTAGAAACCGAAACTGTGCAATCTAAATACTACGAAGTCAATCTGTTTATGTATACGTGAGCTTTTACTCAATCTCTGACTTAACGTGTAAGTGCATTCCGATAGAATCTACTTAGCTGTTCAGAATCGCGCTTGTCACACGTCTCGTCATCGTCCACCTCGTTGCGATTCTTTAAAGACGGAATTCTTTAGGGACTCGCAGGGTAGACACAGGGAGTACAAAGCTTAACGAGACACTACCTTATTAAAAGGTCTCGTAATAGGCATCCGCCGTTTATAGACGATGCTAAGTAAACGCTTAATACTTCGTATATTGTCCTAACCGATACGCATTGTTGTAATCGCATGAAATAAACATTTTCATGAAAAGAACATCTTTATTCGTCTTTATTCTTCTGACTCTATGTCTGACACGTGTCCTAGACGGCATGTTATTGAAAATATTCTAAAATTTATGCGCATATCATATTTCGAGATTGTTGATTCCAAAAATTCTTTAATTTGGAAAATTTGAGAAAAATTATAAGTTTGTATCACAGTGTTATACTTTATTAAAAAAGTATAATGCGCATAAAAATTTTTTTAACATTACCTTTTTTTGGCTACTTTAAGTATTGGCAATATTTTTTTAGATTTGTTATTTAAATAAAGTCCATTAAAAAATGAAATTGCACGTAATGTGCATCAAAAATTGCTAACATTATCCCTTGTGGTTTTTTAATTTTCTTTCCTGAATAGAATACAAAATCGATATTCTCTAATTTTGGCACCAACGGATAACGTCGACAGTTGGCCAGCAGATAACTGATTTGCTGAAAGTTCACAAGTCTCCGTTCGAAGGCTCCATCTAGAAGCCGCCGATACTGAAGATACCTGTCGTATAATTATTAATTTTTAATAACGAAAAAACATATTAGCACCGCAGGCATCACGTATGAAAAAATATTGATTTTGAAGACTCTCTTAAGAACGCGATTTTCCAGAGAAGCGGACTTGAGTATTACAATAGAAAACTTCATGATTAAAATTGCATGATACGGTTGCGAAAATACATTTTCGCATTTTCATCGCAGAGTTGTTTTTCGAGATCGATAGAAAGCTACCCTTCATAGGTGCCACACTACGCAAACCAAGTTATAAAGAGCCTACGAGCGTTAGACGTTTTATTAGAAATCGATAGCACGTCGAGCACAAATTTATCCCGCGAATGACGCATGTTAAGAAATGTAAAGTGCGATTAAAAATAAGAGCGACAACTTGCTTCTTCGTTCACGCCGCTGCACTCTGTTAGATTCTCGCGCAATATTTTATTAAAGATAAAAATTCTAGAGTTATCACATTTCAAGGAAAGATAACTGGCATCGTAAATTTCTCAGCCCGATCCAAGTTTAAATCGGTCGCGTTTAAATCGCGCTAAACGTAGCCGAATCCGAGTTCAGATTGAGTTCCAATATAAAGCACATCTCTCTCGTATTTGGCGAAAATCATAACGGCGGCACCTGATTTAAATTTAATCGACCAAGTCAAAAATTATCCATTCTGCTGCTATTATTTCACACGGAGTAATCGATCTATGTCGATTCTCGCTCGCCATTAATCGCAGAGGCATCGCGTCGTGTCGCACAGTCGTAATTCGTTTTTACGTAAGAGTTTACTTTCATCGCGATCGAGTCTGCAATTAATTACGCCAATTAGCGCTGACGTTCGTCGAACTCTTGGCGTTTCGTTTCTCCCCCGTGAGATCGCTCGTTATCGCGCGATAGCGGTCGAACGATCATCACGACCAGATATGAGAACGGGCCAATAAAAGTATCAAGAATGGAAGGATTCCAGTCACGCATTGATTCATGCCTGTGTACTCTTATCTCGTTTTAGCGTTCATCATCAAGATTGTGCGCACTTCCAAGAAACATACACGTGTATTTATCTATAACTATACAATAGCAGTCTGATTTATCGAAAAGCTTCTATAGAATTTCATCGAAAATTTGCATTTCTCGCTGAATTTATTATCAAATTTACAGTTCAAAGGTTTATGAATGTCAGCGTAATTTTCAGTGGAATTCTAATTACAAAGCGAAAATTATATTAAATATTTTTTGATACATTCGACCATAATTATGATCGTTAATATCCATCCAATATTAAATTGTTAAACGACAAGAGCACTCGTTTATATGAAAGCAGAAAGTTACATAATATACCTGCGAGACAATGCGAAGCCCATGCAATATTTTATGCAAAGGAAGCTTTAAATTTTAGCTCAGCTTAAGAAAAGTCTGAAGCCTCTGTTGCACCTGGTCCTCGATTCAATTTTTCTCTTTTTAGAGACGAGTGGGCGGCATGATTTCACGTGGGAGATGCTGATACGTGGGAGATACCGGTAAATGTCAGCCTTATTCCAAAAAGGGAAAAATCAGTGGTGACTTTCGAGTTAACATTTAAACTAGAAAATTCTTTTATTGTTTAAATGATATTATGTGACAGTTGAATTTTTACGCGGGAGAGGAAAAAGTGAGAATGTTAAATTTTGCCCGCGGCCAATACATCACATCGGCTTCTGTCTGCAAATACTACGCCCACGCGAATTCATCCGTTTTAATCTGCGAAAAATTAAAAGGAGATTTCGCGACTGCGGCAGTTGCATGAAATAAACGAGTGGGTTTCTAACAAAAGCCAAGTTTTTAATCGTTGCTTGCGAAAGATGCCAGCGGCCTGTTTTCGTGCCAATCGTATTAGGGAAATTCGTTGCGCAACATGCCAGCTCGTTAAGCCGCGCGCCGATCCCGTAAAAGGGATTGTCCGCGCAAGCATCGGAATTCGGAGCGCGGAGCATCAAGTCTAAATAAAGCCAAGTATCGAATCGGGTACAATGAATCGGATCTCCTTTGTAATGAATTAGAATCAGTCGTGGTACAAAATGTTCCATAAGTAGCAGTACGAACTTACTCGCGAATTGTATTTGTTGCCGAAATAGATTTTCGACGATGAATAAAAAAGAATGAGCTATTTCGAGCGAGTTTTAAAATCGCGACTCGCACAGCAGCGGGCTCCTTTCACAAATTTCGGTTGCGAGAGGAGCCTCTCACTCGCGAAGCGGCCCGTACAGCTGATTTCTCAATGAATCGACCTTTGTACGGGCAGCCCACAAGAAACTCGTTCATCAGCGCACGGAGGAGCCGCGGCGGCGGAATGCCGGGCGAATTATTGCGATACGACGGAAATTGAGGATCCCGCCGCGTTTGTGTAACGTCGCCTCGTTCTCGGGGAGTGCTACTGCCATGGCGATTTACGTAATGAGCTAAGAGAGCGAGAGGGCTTTTCCAGGAATTATCGTCATGCCGTCATGCGCGGCCCACGCCGCGCCGGGACTTAATTACTTTCATCGACGGAAGCGGCCGTTTGCAACGGTAATCGGCAATTTATGCTGGCTTACACGCCTAAGCTCCAGTAATCAAAGGGTCGGCCCTTGATGACGTGGGTTTAATTCCGCGGCGCATCGCGCGTTTCTTAATGTTTTCGTAGTTTCAGCGCGCGGTGGACGTCCGCAGTCTGCTTTTCAAATGCTCGAGAATATTATTCTTCAAGTTGAGAAATTTTAAAGCAATTCTCCCATTGTTTTAAAACAGCAATTTCTCCAGCTCTGTTCTTTGTTAAATAAAATGAGCCCGCAAATAGAAAGCGGACTCCCACGAAGTAGAAAATGTACGTTGAACAACATTAACAAGTACTAATTAAAAACTAAATATAACGAGGAAATCGAAATTATAACGACGAAGCAGGAGGAGCTAATTAAAATTAATTTAAGACTATGTTATTAACGCGTAAATTATTACAGTAAAAGTTATTATTATTATAATAAATGTAACAGAAATATAACGTGTCATTATTAAATATTAATACTATTTTTAGAAAGCAGTTTAGTTACAAAAAGCTTTGGACTGAATGGAAGGAAGACAAAAGGAGAAGAAGAAATTGCGCGTCGGAAGAAAAGAAAGAACTAAACGTGCGAATTACTGTGGTCGCGTCGCGTCAATGCATCATTGTGTTATAATACGAGAAGAGCATGATTCGCGAGACTTTCATGCGATAATCGCCGGTTACACAAGCGGCAAGTGAAACCGCGTTATTTCCGGTCGCCCGGTTCATCCTACGCGTGGCTATTGAAATTCCTCGATGCTCGCATACCGAGATCGATAATACCCGGCAAACAATATCGGATTTATGATACGTTAGCTTCTCTCGTCAGATAAACATTGAAAAAATAAAATAAAATAAATAACTCACACCGCTTATTCTATACTGAAATTCGCAATTATTTTAACAAGAGCTTATAATATGCTGCTTCGATTAAAAAGAAATAACAAAACAGATAAGCACAAAAGAATTAAATATTAAGGACTTTCGCTTAGCCTTGTTTCTCAATATGATGGAAACATAATTTATTGAGCGATCAGTTGGAAACTGGTAAACAAGATTATAAGTATCAGAAGCAAAGTTTGCAAGCACACGGCTCCACTTTCCCAATTTTAATATTTATTCATTTAGAAGAAACGCGCAGGAGACGTACTCTTTATAACTATTTTATACGTCGTCAATCTTCTCAGAAATAGCGACTACAACCCCTTGTAATGTTGCTGCTCACGTTCCCGCAGACTTCTTATAAATGAGAAAAAAATTCTGCTTTAAAATATATTGTTTGAAGTCTCTTAGACTTAATTGTTTAATTGTTGCAAGTATTGTTCTGCATAATTGCGTTTTCGAAAAAATTTATATTAAAAATGTAGTATTTAAGAGATTTTTTAAGTCAGAATTTTTATTAGTATAAATTTTATTCCCCGCAAAATTGTATCTTTAATTCCGATATGTGCAAAGAATCCTTTTGAAGGTGTTGCACCTTCTTCAAGCCGATTCTTTAAATTTATGAGCTTTGTGATGTATAATCGTTTCTTGCAACAGTGGAAAAAGAAACGAGATTCCTCGCGAGTGGAACGCGTGTTATCGATTGACAGAGCTGCGCCGTGAACGGCACGCGCTCTCTTTCATCAATGGATTCTACGTGCAATTATTAATTGCAATTAATTTTCGAAAGTATGCAGCTCGATTATCTCACGAGCCGTCCGACACGCCGCGTGAATGATTCGAGAGCTTCCTCCTCGTGCGCATTGCACATACATGTGACACATGTGAAAATCGAGTTCTAATTATAGAAAACTATACTATCGACATATGCCGCTGCTTCAAAATAACAACCGATCATTCCGCAATACTATCACGATTTGGCATCCTTGCTCCAGGGAGGACAGGGACAGGATTTCTCCCCGGAGCGAGGTACGGCCTTGACCAATATCCCAGCGTACTTTATTTTATGG